GTTTAATGAGAAATTTCTGTTCTTTTCTCCCTTATCAACTTTTGCAAATATACCTTCCCATCTTGTATTTTCTCTATCCAGCACCAGGGAAAACCCTGGCACACATGTACCACGTAGCTTTGGACATTACAGAAGCAAAGAGGAAGAAAGGTCACACATGAGCCTTACCTCTGGCTTTGCAGTTCTGGCCTGATTTGAAAGCAAGACACATATGTCCTTCAATTATTCACTAGGGTAACAGCAAACTCTGAGGCTACCTGCACCTCTTGCTGCCCATCTTGCAGCAGCAGGAGGCTGTGGCACACAAACACCTCAGCACAGAGGTCCCAAACAACCAGAAAAACTGAAACATTTGTCAGAAATAATGTGCAGTAAAGCAAAGAGAAAATAAGGCAATTAATCACTCAAAAAAAGGGGGGTGAGGGAGAAGGGGAGAGGGAGGGAGAGGGGGGGAGAGAGAGAGAGAGAGAGAAAGAGAGAGAATGGGAAAAGAAACCTGATAGCTTGTGCTGCCTCTCCTGGAAGTCTGTCAGCCCACTGACAGGAAGATTAAAGATGCTGATGGGAATTCCTTTCTCACCACAGGCAGCTTTAAAAGCACAGGACAATAATCTACTTTTACAGATCTGGCTGTGACTTTTCCACAACACGTCTTTTTCCTCCCTTACTCTAAATAAAAAAGGATGATCCATTGCAGCTCAGCTTGTTTTCTGAGTGCTGCCTTCACAGCCGGGGTGAAGGTATTGATTGAAGCACTTGGACATTTATTGGATTTGTGACTTTTCTGATGTGTTAAAAATGTTTTGACCTGCTTAACTCATACAGTCCTACATGCTCCAGCATTTGTTAGTGTAACCACTAAAGGTCCAGACTCTCTGCCACACTTCCTTTATGAAGAGACCAACCAGTGAAATTCCTGGAAGGCAGGATATAGACTTGAAAGCATTGGATTTAGCAATATACTTGACACTGGGCTTGAAGAGCCTGCACAGCTTAGAGTTCACCTCTCCTTGACCCTCTGGGAAGGACAATACACATTGCTGTACCCACAGCTTAAGCTGGATTGCTGGTTTCAGTGTCTTGCTTTTTTAGGAACCTGTTTAGCAGAGTGAATTGCACTGGTAGGTTGTTCTGAATGGCCTCTTGAGTCGAGTTCTCCAGCCATCCCCACAGCTTATTTACTGAATGGGTTCATCGTGGGATGAGGAAATGCAAGAAGGGGAAATGACTTAGGGACAAAGTCAGTGCTGTCCTTTTGCCCCATAAGGACAGAACTTTTTGCTACTTGATTTTCTTATACAGACCTCTAAGTTTTCATCTGAGCAAGAAAAGAATGATTGATCTTCTTACAGGCAATCTTACACCACTCTCATACCTATGCTTTATTTTCACCCTTGTTTCCCAATTTCACAGAAAAGGCCTTTATATATCCTGGACAAGGTGACATTTTTGTGTTCTGTGATGACATCACTTGCTCTCAGTTCTCTGTGTGCTTGAGTCAGTCTGGCCTTTTTGCATTTTCAGAAAGGGTCATCCCTGTGGTGATTTCCAGGCTGAAGGATAATTTGTGCTTTACACAGGAATATTCTGTGTTGCAAGAGCAGTTCTCAGTACCTGAGGAGTGATGTCTCACATCAGGCTTCAGCAGTGCAATTAAAAAACAGCAACCTCCTGTTTCACTTGTTTCATGTAAAAAATTTATTCTGTTTTCTGGGCTGAGGCTCTCCAAAGGACATGACCAAGCTTAGTAAGGGGAAGAAGAGCAGAAATGGGAGTCGAGTGTCCACTTATGGGCAGCAACTGTACCAGCTCTCAGCTGAAATAAATTCCAGGATCCTAATAGATAATGCCACCATATGACTGTAAATAAACTGTATTATTATATTCTTAATAGCTTTTCATGGATATTCGAATGGGATAACACACACAAAATAAAATACTAGTAAAATAACAGACAAAGGAGTTTTAAAAAATAGTAACCTAATTATTTCTAAAAAGTCAAATCAATAATTAAATTCACAGGACAACAGAATTATTATTTTTTTAAAGTGGAAGTCAATAACATGTGTTGTAAACAAAGCTTTAATCCGAGGTTACTCCAGATACACAGTAATGTTTCACAGTCAATAGGCCCCAAAAGAGTATTAAGCTTGCATAGATGCCTGACTAAGATGGTGACATATTTACAATACATACCACTGATTTATATGTGTTTTTTCCTCTCCATCCAAGCAATAGCTTTTCCTCATCTCTATCCTAACAGCTGCAGCTACGGGTTTTGCTTCAGGCTTTGTTTGGGGGATTAAAAGCATCTCAGTATAATCTCTTTTTGTTTTATACACTGAAGAAAGAATTAGAGATGAAAATTGATGCCACAATGGATTTCATTAATCACACCAGGAGGCTTGGTTTGCTGTAGTAGGCACTTCCAGCAGAAGGTGCTCACAATCAGCTTAAATATTAAACGCCCTCCTGTGTTTAAATAGCGATGATCAAATCTGTGAAAGCACAGCTCCCATGGCAGGGCAGGGGTTCTTTCAAAAGGGCCAATGCTGTTCCAACCAGCTCACCTTATGGTGAATCCTCCTCTCCAGCAATGTAAGCATCAGTTGACTGCCAGGACAAAAGGACTAGAAAAATCAGTGCCTGGGGGAATTGCTACGAGATAAAGGAAGCGTCACCTCTGGGTCAGCAGCGCAAAAGAAATCACGACGGTCATAATGGCCAACAGTTGCCACGGTGGGACGGGTGCTGGCAGCTTGGCACGAGGTACCAGGTGTCCGCCTGGCCCTCGGAGAGCAGGAGCTCACATTACAAAAAGCACCCCAAATGTTAACTGACGCTGCCAAGAACAGGGCCGAGAATAGACAGGTCCCGCTGGCTGGGCTGTTGGGGCGTATCCCCACGGAAGGCCAAGTCCCAGTGGCAGATGGCCAGAGGGAAGTTTGCATTCCCACAATTCATGTTCTAACTGTTACGAATAATCAGCAGCTCTCCAGGGCCCTGGGTCTGACACGAGGCAGGAGCCAGCCCTGCTAGAAAACTGCATCAGTCACCAACTGTGCACCAAAAGCATCCTTGGACTGATGCATCAGGGCTGTTGCATACAGATGAATGTGGTCTGAGTATTCTGTAGAGGAAAGGAAAGCAAGCCCCATGGAAAGCGGGTCTACAGAGAAAAGCTGTAACACTTGTAATTCCTTTCTGCAGAATCCAGGAATCAAAAGCACGAGTTCCCTTAAAAATGTTTTTGTTCAATCACTATTAAAGTATCATTTGAAATTAGAGCATAAACAGAATTGAGGGAATGGGGTTTCAGCAAACGTGACAATATACAGCTTTATGCTGCCTTATTCTGCCTCAGCCTCTCTCCTGTGGTGAGACAACAAAACCAAAACTGAAAACCCAACAAGTCCTGACCCCAGTAGAGAGAACAGTGCCAGGAGAAGAATTGACTACAACTCCCAACGTTCACTAAGGGTACCTTTAGGACAAACGCTATCCGGGAACATCCCAAACAATCTGAAATTGAAAGCGAGCCCCGGTGGCTGTTGGAAGCTGTAGTCAGCTCTCCAGGGCGAACCACTGAGCAGAAAGATCCCGAGAGCCGCTCTGGTACCCAAAAGATCCCCTCTAGAGCTCAGGGTAGCGGGCAGGCAGAACGCGCTGTGCCCCTTCCGGAGGGGTGCCAAGCTCCGCTTTTGGGCTTTCCCAATGTTTTGGGGGGATTTTCGGCCTGGGGCTGCGGCAGAAGCAGCGAGACCTGCCGGCGGCAGGCGGCTCCAGGAGGGGCCGGGCAGCGACCCGCGGGGTCCCGGTGCCGCTGCGGTGCCCGGCGGCGATGCCGGTGCCGCCGGAGGTGCCCGTGCCGGTGCCGCTGCGGAGCCGCCGGCGGGGCCCGGCGGCGGGGGGCGGGGGCCGGGGGCGGCGGCGCTCCCCGCCCAGCCGCCGCAGCCGCGGGCCGGGCGCGGGGGGCGCAGCGGAGCGGCGGCGGCGCGCAGGGCCATGTCGGCGCCGTGCCTGCGCCTGCCCGCCGCCGGGTCAGCACCGGCGGAGGCGGACAGCGCCGGCGGCATGGAGCCGCCCGGGGCCGCCGCCCTGGAGCTGGCCCTGGAGGAGGAGCTGGCGCTGCTGGCCGCCGCCGGGGAGCCGCCGGAGCCGCCGCCCGCCGCCGCCGCCCGCGACCCCGAGCTGCTCTCGCTGATCCGGCAGAAGGAGAAGGACCTGGTGCTGGCGGCGCGGCTGGGGAAGGCGCTGCTGGAGCGCAACCAGGACATGAGCCGGCAGTACGAGAGGATGCACAAGGAGCTCACCGACAAGCTGGAGGTGAGGCCCCGCCGCCCGGCCCCGGCCCGCGGGCGGACCATCGGAGCGCGGCCCCTTCCCCGGCCGGCCCCGGGCACGGGCCCTGCCGGGCAGCCCACGGGACTCCCCGAGGCCCTGACGGGGAAGGAAGGGTCTGAGCGATCCCTCCGAGGCCTGGGGGAGGCAAAGCTGCTGCTTTCTCCCCCGCTCCCGAGCTGGGGCCGGGCTGCAGCGCCGTGCTCGGGAGGTCCCCGGGGGGCCCTTTCGCCCCAGGACCCAGGTACCACCTGGGGGAGGAGATGTGCGCGGTGCTCGGCTCATCTCGTCACAGAAATACCTCGGAAGTTAAATCTGCGCAGCAAGTACCGAGCTACAGAGCATATGTGACCCTTATGCTTAAGCTGTTGCAGCTCAGGCATTAGGCATGGCAGGAGATAAGCCCTAATGATACATCTCTGTTAGCTGCTTGCTCCGGAAAATACCTACAGGTATCTGGAGAGAGCCGTTTGCCAGGGACTCAGTGGATTGAGCTCTTTATTGATTTTTAAGGACAATAGAGCTATTACAAAGAAAAAGACTTGTGCAGGCAGCTTCTTTTGGAACAACTCTCTTGCACAACTATGTGAGAGAGCCACTATTATTACCAGCACTCTTTTTCACAGAGGTGCTCTTGAAATAGTATTTGTTCCTGTAAGTAATACTGCTTAGAAGGCTGAGAAGAGCCTCTCTCACCTTTCTGGAGAGTTTGAACACTGCTGGATGAACATTCAAATTTCAAGTCACAGCCCTAGACCAGTTCTTTCTGCACAGTCCTGCATATTCCTGTATTCCTTCCTCATGTTCTCAAGTTCAAGAGGATTTGTGAAATTACTGTATGGCCGTTGTTCTCCTGAAAAAATTCCTCTCTATTATTAAACTTGTCACTTTACCCCCCTAACTGGTCCCTTCCTCTTTGCAGGGAAATCACTCTGCCTTTATTATTCCGACCAAAGAATAGTGAAGGTGACATTTGCTCAAATTGTTGTTTAGTGGCTCTGTTTATCAGATTAGAATTTCCCAGAGTATTAAAACTTGCCAGGGTGAATGTTTTCAGGTTGGTCTTTAAGCAAGAACAGACGTATGTGACGTTGTGCTGACGTGGTTTTCCTTATGAGTCGGAGTAGAATCGTTTCTGTCATTAAAGGAAAAACACTCAAGTTTAGGTACTCACTGAGCAGCCTGTCAGGGAATTCAGGAGCCTCAAATACCACTCACTGTTTGCAAAATGTGAAGATGAAAAGGAGGGGGGGGAACTATGACTTTATATAGCACTTTAAATAACATCCCCCAAATGTTTACCTGTGCTCTCACAGGCCCGTTCAGAAGGTGAATGAAAGGATTGTAAACACAACCAACTGTTTACATCTTTTCATCCCATTACTATTGCCCTAACTTCCCACTGGAATAACAGATTGCTATTTTCCAGGCTACCGATCTGATAGAGTTAGTGTTATCTACTTAAGGGTCATTTTTTTTTTCCAATGGGTTTGGCAAATCTAACCCAGTGCTACTTCATAAAAAAAAAAAAAATCAAATTTAAACATTAATCTTCTACAACAGAAGCCTGGTAATCCTAGCCTCTGCAAATTAAATGTTGGCCTCCTCCTGTTGCCACTGAAGTGAATAAAATTTCACAATAAGCTTTCCAATTTCAGAGGAGCAGGGAGGAAGGACCCACAGCTGTTACCATCATCAGAAAGTTCTCAGCAAAGAGAAGGAGACCAGGTGCGAAGTCTCAGATGAGATCCTTGGTGACAACCTGATATAATGATGTTTTAGTAGCATTTAGGAGAGATTTTCTCCCAGTTCACAGTTGGTTACAAGAGCTCAGTGAAGCCTATTTCACAACAGCCAAGGTGCTGCCCTGCTCCTCAGGTGCTTTGCCGCAAGATTAAATACGTTCTAGTTTTGTGGGTTCATTACTGAGGTACAGCATTCCTGCCTACACCTACTCTAGCAAACCTTTCACTTCACAACCTGGACTTAAATTCATATTTAATCATGGAATTGAAGTCCTGTAATAAATTCCAATATGCGATCCTAGTCAGTTTTATCCTCTGCAAGGGATTAAAACAGTTAATACCGCTGCTCCTCTGACACAGAGGAGCCTGCTGTGTCCAAGCATTTTACAGTATGAACCCTCTCTATCGGCTGGGAAACACCCCCTTGCTTTCATCTCTTTAAATGAGGACCAGCCCAGCTCAGTTAAGTAGAAGAGAAGCTGTTTTCAGAAGAAAACATCTTCTAGAAAGCAGTTCTGTGCAAAAATCAATGAGCAGCTGGTGAATGGAAAGACACTCAGGAAACAAGAAACTCCCCTACTGAGGACAGCAGTTTGCCCTATCAGCACTGTGTGCACAAAACCCCTGTCCAGATCTGCAGCTGTGAAGGTGCTGGGGTGAGGGCAGGCGAGGGGAGATGGCTGCTGAGAGAGGCAGGAGGGACCAGTCAGCATGTCTGGTCTGATTTATCCTCCTCTTTGCAACAGCCTCTCTGCGCCCCACTGCACCCACAGTTCTGCTTTCTCCATCACAAGAGAATAAACTTGATATTCTTCACCTCCCTCTAATTCCAGCCTTTGTCATGGCTGCCTATTGGAACCAAGTGTAGAGTGGGTTTTCTTTTACAGTGAAAGACTGAAGTACCTTTTAAATGATTGACAAGGCTTATCAGTGGTTTCTAAATCACATTTGAGTGTGTCTGGGGCACTTCAGCTGCAGTGCTGCTCCTCAGCAGGCTGAAGTTCCATTTTCCATTTAGAGAAGGCCCTGGATCTTTCTGAACGTTGCCTAGCAGTGAAGGAGGCAGAGCTATAAAAGACAGAATTTTCAGTGTGCCACTAAAAGTGAAATTGTGGCTGCTCTAGCCCCACCTGAGCTACAAAAAAGATTCCTTTGCAAAGGTTGTCATGGGCCTCGTGCTGGGATCTCATGCCTACCTATTGCATTAAAATATTTATAATACTGCTTAGCTCTCTTATTTGCTAAGGTGCTCACTCTTCTAGTGTCTGAAATATGGGGTAATACTCTGCTATGGGCCACTCTTTTTGATCATCCTCACATTTGAGGGTTTTTCATGAAAGTTCAGAATTTGCAGAAGGATTTGGAAGGACACAAGCAAGGTGCTGTTACACTGAGCTGAAAGGAACATAGGAAAGGATTTGGAGATAAGGTCAAGAAAGAGAAAACATGGCAAAGCAAAAGAGGTGGAGGATTAGTGATAGAGAGGCCAGAGGGCTGCTGGGGAACTGGAGGGCTTTGACATTCAGACCTGCTCAGGAAGGTGACAGAGACCCTGCAAGGCAGGCTGTGTGTCATCAGTAGTAGGCACCCAGGGGAAACAGCCCCCTCACAGCCTGTGTTTCTAACAAGCAATAAAAAGCCACTTCACATAAATGCAGCACAATTTTCTTTTCCGCCTGGCAGGTTTATTTTCCCCTCCTCTCAGAAGTGCCATGGGAATTGTTCACCAGGGAGTCATACTCTGGGAAAAATGGGCGAGTGCTGCCAGTGTTGGGCCCAGCAGGTTTCTGTTCTTTGCTAAAACACATTCCTAAAAGACTGGTGAATCCAACAGAGAGTAGCAGGAGATTATTCTGGGGGTCAGAAGACAACCAACAAGGAGAGGACTCCTGCTCTTCAGGTTTCCCTGCTAATCCTGGGACTTGGCCATGTCCCCAGTCTGTGATTATTCTGCAAGTAAGAGTGTGGCTTCAGTCACCAGGGGAAATTCAAGCTCACTTTTGGAGCAGGGATTCTTTCAAATGGGCACAACATAAATCTGCTCTGACCTGATTTGCAGCTCTGTTTCAGTCAAGCCCTCATTTAACTGAGCCTGTAAAACAGGCAAAAGTTTCAGGTTCAGATTCATGCTGTCCCTCACTTTCTAGCCAATCCTGAGCAGAGCAGAGTCTCCAGAACTGAGTGGTTTCTAAGAAACCCAAACCCAGAACTTGCACATACATAATGTCTATAGCAACCAGTTCATTGCATCCACTGCCATTCCAGAGCGGACTGCATCAAACAATGGAGTTACTGTGCACCATCAAACTCTCAGACAACTAATTAGGTCAGGAATAGAAGGAGCAAATGGATAGATGATTCAACTGTTGTTCATAAGACCCATATGACAAGAAAGATGCCTCATCTACATTCCTCATCAACAGTAAGAATACAGTTCGTGTGGTTTTGACTATAAAGGCAATTTTTAAAGAATTATTCTACTGGCCACTGAAATATTGCTTTGGAGTTAAGCTGGGCTCTGCTAAATCAATTGCTCTGCCTGACCTATATATTCTGTCTATTGACATGCAGCCTACTTTACTCTTTTGGCAGTTATTTCAGTAAAAATTCAATGTGCTGATCTCCAGCGGCCGAGGACAGGCCAATTGCTGGAAATGGAAAACAACTTCAGTGCCAGCGACCTGCCCCGATGTGGGACTGCAATCTCCATGGCATTCTCACGCTCTAGTACCATTCTCTTTCCTGCACAAGGTTTCAACCCTAAGCATAGACAAGGAAAAGGAGACAATGTTCGCTTTCCTTTTGCTCCCTTCCTAACCTCTTCTCTCCCGTTATTTAGCACCTAGAACAAGAGAAACACGAGCTACGGAGGCGATTTGAGAACAAGGAAGGAGAATGGGAAGGAAGGGTGTCTGAACTGGAAAGCGACGTGAAGCAGCTGCAGGACGAGCTGGAGAAGCAGCAGGTTCACCTGCGCGAAGCCGACCGCGAGAAGACACGGGCGGTCCAGGAACTCTCCGAACAGAACCAAAGACTCCTGGACCAGCTCAGCAGGGTGAGTCCCCACAGCACAGCCAGGGCAGGCACCTGCCACCCTGGGCACACGAAAGCAGCTCTGCTGTAAGCCACCTTTTGGGCAAGTGAGTGGGGAAGCTCCCACTTTCAGGAAAACAAATGGTTCTGCCTCTGGTCATATTGCACATGCTGCCTTTAAACTGATTTTACACTTTTAAGGAGTGATGCATTTCTTTGGTAAAACAGTTATGTTTCTGGACTGAATGGTCATTTACTGCACAGATGTCTCTCACCTGTTTTTCGTATCTAAAACTGGTTTAGAAAATCTGTTTCTAATTTACTAATAGGCTGAACAAATGTAGCATGCAAGGAAAAGGCTGATCTGTGACTGAGGGGAAAGGCATGTTGCTGGCCTCCCTTTTTTGAGCTACATTGGCTGTACTGTAAAACTGAACATACCCTGTCATTCTAGGACGGTGTGTCACTACAGATAACTTTGCCATGGTTAGATGTGTGAGAACCCACTGAAATTCCTTGGAATGGCATCTTTCATCAAAGAGCTTAACTTGCCTGTGAATGAAAGAGGATTTATTGCGAGGCTGCTACAAATCAGCCTAATTGACTGAATACTTACAGCATGAGTTTCTTTCTGACAGCAAAAGACTTAACAGTTTCTGCCTCCTTCCCCCACAAGTTAACCTGTCTTCCAGAATGAAGAACCTTGGTTTTTTTCTCCCCACTGGACAGTTGGTACAAACCATAATTTTAATGCTTGAGAACACAGTTTCTCCAGCAGATAAAGGCATTTTCTTCTTATCAGTTGCTTATTCCCAAAATAGCCTAGAACAAAAACACACGCCACAGACTCATGGTGAAGAGGCCCATCTAATGTTCTAAGAACATCTTGCAGGCTAGATTCTCTCCTAGGTGAGTCTCTGAGGCTGACACAGGGATTTTGCCTATGGGATTTTCACCCCAGACCAGGAGATTCTGAAATGGGCCAAGTACACAGGTCTTCACTCAATCTGTGTATGCAGTTTTCCTGTGCCTCTGGACGTAAGAGAACAAGTTTTGGGTATGACACTCTGTACTGATCCTTGAAGAAATCATTCCTTATTCTGCTGTAGATTTTCTTGTCAAAGACTAAAAAAGCCACTTAGTGCAATTTGATTTTTTTTAACTGGCTTTAAAAAAAAATACAAAAATACCTCAACTTCCTTAACTCAGGAACATTGCTAAGTTTATCCATGTTTTTAAAGCAATATCTCCCAAGTGCAGCAGATGAGCTAGAGAAGATATTTCACCCTTTCTCTGGACACAGCATATTTCACATACAACATGGATGAGAGATTCCACCCAAGCTTTCACAAGCTGT